TCATATTTTTGGAACGGTCTTGACAATATTTTTTATAGTGAAAGTCTTAAAATTTCAATAAAACCTGTTGATGCGACTGATGCCTTAATCGGTACTCCAGTGAATAGTAGTGAATCGAAAAATGCCCTTACGGGTGATATCGAGATTCTTTATTAATGGGAAGGAGAATAGGAAAAATAAAACACAATAACGACTTTATTTGAGCCCAGTCAGTACTAAAAAGTACGCTTTATTTGGCTCGTCAGGGAAAAGCCTTTCGGCATAAAAACCCTGGTTGAAACGATGAAGAAGAATCCACAAAGCAGTATAATTCTGACCAAGTGCAGGACCGCCTCTGTCCCTTGTCGCCGTCCGAACTTAGATGATATGGTATTGCGCAATACAAAGAATTCTCCTTGAAGTAGTTCTCGCAAGTCTTAGCTAGATGAATCTCGAGCGATGAATTCAGAGTGACAACAGGCGCAAAACGCGCTGGCTTTTATACCAAAAAGCGATGCAATGCTGCACCAATCACCGAAAAGTCCGWGCATAACGCGGCTGTCGATACATATGATTGGCGTAATAAATGTAGTGGGAGAACRCGAGCTAGAATAAAGAAAGAGCCCTTGCAAGCATCTTAGCGCTACCGTGGTTACCACTAAAAATAACGATATTGCTGTGTCGCACGCGTCTCACGCCTTAGTAGGGCCGTACACGCCTAGGTGCTTCGCCCTACTCACTCGTTGCGTGGGATACGCAACAAAACCTTTTTTAAATTAAAGTACAATCTTTGCCCTATAAATAGACTACCTTTTGAGCTACAAATCTCGCGTATTTAATACTTAAAAATCCAGTGAATGAAATTCTGTTAAGTTCATATATTTCACACACATCTGCTTTATCTCTGGAACGTTTTTTTTTTCATCAAAATTTTTATTTTTAGAAGGAACGAATTATAATGAACTTTATGTTTAACTAAAGTGCACTCTTTTTCCTACACGTACAATACTTATTCGAGCTAATGGTCGATTTGCAAATTCTTATAAAATGTCAAAGAATGCAATGCTGAAAACAGTGCATCTTTGCACTTCATTTGAAATGTTTAGGTAAAAATTTTTTATAGATAGAGTTAATAGATTTAAATTAATTTTAAATTAGATGTTAGTACACATTTTAAATATTAAACAATTTCGATGTGACATTTTTTCGATTAGAATTTATCCCTCTAAAGTAATCACTGCACAGGGACTTTAAAACAGATGTACATTTGTTTAAACAATTACATAAAAATTGATATAATGCTAAAATCAGATCGTTGTAATCTTAAATTTTATCCATTAGATGAATTATTCCGTTTAATRCACATGCGCAACGTTCGGAAAGTCATATAAACAACTTTCAATAGAAGTATTTTCATAGAAGAGCGAGTGCTAGTCTCAAGGTGCATTTCGAAGAAGACGGATCACAGAACATATACTTGTAGCTTTTTAACAACAATATACATTTTTATTGATTATATAACTAATATTTTAATTCTCTAATACACTCTTTTTATATTTCAGTGTTTTTTAACACATATGTAATTGTTTAAATATTACATGCCAATTAACGTACTATAAATAGAACATAATTTTAATATATTTTTATTTTATGTTTCTTTAGATGACTTTTTTAAACCTAATTTCTTTACTGAGCTGATACATTAACATTAATTTTACCGATAACTTATATTGTTTTTTAATCAATTTTCTTTTAGACTTCGGCATGTAAACGTCGAAGAGTGGTAGTCGCGAATGAGTGAAATTCTTAGGGCGAAGACTGAGAGTGATGTTCTTTAAAAAACATTCTTGATTAGATTATATTATATCTTCTCAATTTAATTCGGATGTGGACATCCTTAGGATGCACATCCCTCGTGGGTCTTCGGAAGCGGTTACCTCCTCCTGGTTAGACCCGGGCAATGGATATTACTTTCCGTGTTATGTTTATCATATTTTTATATACTATACATTACATTACAAGTAATATCAAGCTAAAGACCGCTTATTATAAACATTATAATGATAATTAGTTTCTTTCATTTTCCTAATCAATATCATATTATAATTCATTTCATTGTATTTCCTTTATTACTACTTTCATATTTTATTCCAAATTAAAATACTCGATTTATTTTATAGGAACACTAATATTGTGCATTCTWTCAGTCGTTTTTGATGTGCAGTGCGGTCGGTAAGCACGTCTCGGCCGCGTTCGCGTTCGTGGTCGCGATAAATAACTTTTTTATAGWTTTTTRTTTTCGTTATCGTCTACTGGTCATCGTCATCTTAAGGGTAGGAGACCCATCAGGCATTCATCACTGAAGACTACATGTAAGTAGAATTTTCTATCAAACATTTGGAGAATAATTTTAATGGTTTCATATTGTGACAAAGATATTCATCGTTCTTTTCCTTTTTCTGTTTCAACTTATTTTTTTTTTTTTTATTCTTTTCTCTATTGTTGATGCAATCCACCACAACACAATATTTCACCATTACGAACAAAACATGTATAGAGCTTCGTTATTACACCTTTCAATGTTCATTTCCCCATATGTGGGGAATATCACCAAATGGTGATTGGATCATCATTTACCTCCTAAATATAACTTAATATTAAAATATCATCCTTAACAAAAGCTTAGCAATTTTTCATCACGAACTCTTGTGGATCGTTGAGTATACAATTATTATTATATTAAAAATAACGTAATGTCCTATCTGTTCTACGCTGATTGGACAGATCTATAATAGAGACTCTTTCCATATTATGCTTCTAATTCATTTTTTGTTCGTATTTGTCGCTAAAGTCGCACACGCTTTTAGAAAAAATAATGAGAAACTTGATATGTTGTGCAATGAAGCAATTGTAGCAATTGTTGGTCATTTCTCCTTCGTGAACGTGTATAATATATTGTTTATTTACTTATAAATATAAATCTCTCCGGTATGAACTCTAATATATCATTTATATCATTTCTACACAATTATTTTGTGTTAGAAATAAATTCAAAAGTCATAATCCATGTTATTATTTATTGTAGTACAATAATGATTATTCTAATGAATTTATGATACATGTTTTTTATTTAGATAAAGCAGAATGAAATTAACACAAGCATTAAGAAAATATCATTTGGGTAGATTAACTAGAACAATATGGCATCAACAACGTGAAAGAATACCTATAGATAATAATGTGGAGAGTAAATTGTCAGCATTGAACGTAAAGATTATAGATCCCATTGATATACTTCAACCAAAAAAAGAATTCGTAAAGTATTTATTATGTGCATAACAGATTTATTTCAATATATTCTATTTTTTTTAAATATTTTTATTGATTCATAAGATTTAAATATTTTAATTAATCAAAGGATAAAGATACCAGAACCTTTTATTAAAGTATTAAAATTTGACAATACCCATCCTGATTGGAAAGATGAAGTTTGTTTAAACTATAAGGATCACAATGTTCTACAACATGGCTTATCTCAAGCACAACTATTGTTAAAAACCATTCTTATTAAAAATGAACTTCCACAACAAATTGAAGAAAAAGAAATTTATATTTCAGAAGATATACACCGTTTAGTTAAAAGGTGTTATTTCTTTATATATAATCAAATTCTATATAATATTTATTTAAATATTTATTTTAATAATAAATTTCTATATATAAAGAACAATTTACACCTCCAATATATTCGATGCGCATCAAGAATTGTTACCGAAAAGAAAGGATCCAGACAGACCAGCATGGAATTTTCCTAGATACTATGGTGTGACAGATATTAGAAAAACGTAAATGATCATTTTTATAGAAATATATTTTTGTTGCATTTCAAAGAAGTACCAATATATCTCTACCAATTAATTAATATATTATAAATGAATGAAATTATCTCTCTTTTATAGGCATAATTTATTCAAGAAACTACTTCAAATTTGTGAATGTGTATGTGGTCCAGAGATTGTACAAACTCGTTCTGTCTTTCATAATGGAGTTGCGTGTATTTCAATAGGTATATTAATTTCTTATTTCTTACTGTACGTAGAACTTATATATATTAAAAACAATCTATTATATTTTAGAAAAGGAATCAAAGTTATTGCAATTTGCATTAACATTTGATTTAGCTCTTGTATCAACAGAGCCTTTAAAAAAGATAGAAGATCAAAATGCTTATACAGAATTAGATTTTCCAAGTATATACCCGTTTTATCCAACAGTTAGCTTGGAAAAAACGAATATTTATAAAACCGAAGATCTATATCGTAAGTAATACTTTGTTTTTCTTTAAATTTGCTTTAATAGAGATTTACACTTTGATTACAATATATTATATAATAGCTGTTGAGGCGACATCACCCTGGTTGAATGTTCATACCATATTTATAAGCCATAATCCAGAAGAAGTAAAAAATCTTTCTGAACTACCAGTAGTTGAGGATCAAATACTTGCACGTTCTATGATAAAATCATTTACTGCAGCTGCAAGTAATGCACGTCAAAAATATGGATCTGATGTTAAACATTTACCAGAACCAATAATTGTGCAATGTATTGAATCAAATGGGAAACAATTTCATTTTTCAGTATTTCAACTTAATACACTAGCCATAAATAAAACAGAAGGTATTCGAAATTTTTGGTGGTCTAGTCCAATATTACAGTTATATGAAGAGGCATGTTATAAGACTGGTAAGCCCATTCTTACTGGCTATAATCCTGAAGTTGTGAAAAAACTATTTGCATTTTATAAAAATACCTAGTTTAATAAATAAATGATTTTTATTAAACACGAAAAATATATATGTATTATTATGTAGTATTTAGAAGTGTTTTAAAAAGAGTTGTTATTGGAATAGTAACTTCAACTTCTTTAGGCTTTACCAAAAGCCGATGATCTTGTGATGGTTTTATTAAATTTTCTGCAGACGGATAAGGTTTACAATAAAAATACGTATGTTGCAATGCCTAAAATATAGAATAATAACATAATATAATTTGGTTATACTTATTAATTTTCTTCGAGAAACAATGATATATAAATCAATTAACCTCTTTAGCAGAAAGACGGTTTGATGAATTATATATAAGAATTTGTTTTATTAAATCAATAGTTTCTGGTTCTGCATCCTGTACAATAATTTCCCATGTTGTACCTTTATTATATGGAAACGTTATTTTATTGTAATCAGGTAGTGTACTCAATTCTGGCCATGACTCAGTAGTAGGAGATCCTAAATATTTTAATACTATTGCCAATTGTTCAATATCTGTTTCTCCCTGTAATTTATTTATAAATATATTTATATGTAAATGTATAAAACAGATCGACTTACTGGAAACAAGGGTGAATTATTATACATTTCACCAAAAATACAACCAACAGACCACATATCAATAGCTACAGTATAATATTTTGCTCCATATAATAATTCAGGAGCTCTATACCATCTTGTAGCAACTTGGTGAGAATATGGTTTAGAAATGCCCTCCCACAATAATCTTCCTAATCCAAAATCAGCTATTTTTAAAATACCTTCATTATTGATTAATAAGTTAGCAGGTTTTAAATCCTGCAAAAAGAATATAAATGAATATTGTTAAATATATTTATTTTTTAAAGTAATTTTTAAAAATTATGTATATATAATAATATACCCTATGTATTATATTCTTCTCATGTACATATGCAACGCCCTCTAAAAGCATTTTCATATATATTTTTATTTGTGGTATTGTTAATGAAATATTATTATCCTTCAATATTTCCCATAATCCTGTAGGCATATACTCAAAAACCATTATATAATCTAAACCCAATGGAAAAGAATCTAATAGTTCTATAACCTTTAATAACATAATTTATGTTTAATAATTTTAAATAATTAATGATAATATAAAATAAAATATTGTAAAAAGAGAGAACATTGTGTCATACATAAGGATGTTTTAACTGTTGAAGCGTTTTAATTTCTCTTATGACTGATACAGGTATGCCTTCCTCTACCTTTTTTAAAAGTACCCTTTTTAATGCAACTTCTTGTTTGATAAATCTATGATGTCCTTTTAAAACTAATCCTTGAGCACCTTCACCAATTTTACCCAAAATAATATATTTATCCATAATAAAGCTTTAATTATTATTATATATATATATATATATATATATATATGCATAAACTTAATTATATATATTTATTATTCTTCATTGTAATAAATTTCCATAGGAATGTGAAAGTTTTATTTTATTAAATATTGAAAATCAAAAACATTCTCACACTGCTACGTAGTCAATCAAAATAAAGCAGGCTGACAACCTATGTCCTTTGAAATTTAGAAAACACTAGACGCATATACGCATATGTATATATTACGCGCAGTTTTTAATTAAGCGCCGTCTTTATCATCTAATTACAAGGTGTATATCAATTATTGTGTGTTATTATTTTGTCTATATTACCATTGTCTATATGGTTGGTTATTCTGTAAGAAATCATTTGTACAATAATCTTCAAATAATTTTAGGTTAAAGTTTAATTGACGTGAAGTATTTTAAGAAGTTGTGCGATTTTACGGAAATTATATATAAATGTAGAAAATTTTTCTGTATTCTACAGAATAATTTTTGTATTGAAATATATTTTTTTCAAAATGCCATATGCAAATCAACCATCTGTGCACATATCAGATTTAACCGAAGAAAATGTAAAATTTCAGGTAGAAGACACAGAATTAAGGTACAATATATTAATATTTATTTTTAATAATTTCAGTATGAAGTTTTTATAATTACTCGTTTTAATATTCAGACCCTATGGCTTTTTAAAATACGATTGTCCTGTAAACTTACGTAGAGTTAACTTAAGAAATTTTTGTTTACCAAGTTTTTTACCATTTGTTCTAGTTTTCTTCACAACTTTAATACAATTAAATAATCGATATTCTTAGAAAATGCGTAATTTAATTTCTTTTTTAACAACAATTCTTTGACTCAACTTTAACAATAAGTAAGTTTACAGGGCTATCATATTTAAAAAGCCATCAGGCACTAATATCAAAACTAATTACTGTTTCTTGTTTATTAACAAGATATTATTAACAAGATATTATTAATAAAATAATTAATTTTAGTAATTATTTTTTAATTGAATTAAAGTGTAGCAAATAGTATGAGAAGAGTATTTATTGCTGAAACACCAACAATGGCTATTGATTGGATACAATTAGAAGCAAATTCAACAGTTTTAAGTGATGAATTTTTAGCACACAGAATAGGAATGATACCTTTAATCAGCGATGATGTGCGTAATTTAATACAAAATTATACATTTTCTTTTTATTTTTATTTGATACATATATAAAGTAATATTTACCATGCAGAATAAATAAAGTCAGTATTCGTATTGGTGGTCTAGGTTGTTGACAGGATACAATACACCAGAGATTGTCAATGTATGGATTTTTGTCCTGAATGTAGCGTCGAATTTACTCTTGACGTGAAATGTACAGAAGATCAAACAAGGCATGTTACAACCGCTGATTTTAAATCAAGTGATCCGAGAGTATTACCTGTTACATCTAGACATAGAGAAGATGATGCTAGTGAATATGGAGAAACTGATGGTTAATATTTAATATTATTCATGTATTGAAACTTGTGGATAACTTGGAGATGAAACAAAAAATTATTTTTTATTGTTTAATAGAAATTTTGATCGTAAAATTACGAAAGGGACAAGAATTAAAACTTAGAGCTTATGCAAAGAAAGGATTTGGAAAGGAGCATGCAAAATGGAATCCAACCGCTGGTGTTAGTTTTGAATATGATCCAGATAATTCAATGAGGCACACTTTGTTTCCAAAACCAGATGAATGGCCAAAATCAGAATATAGTGAACTAGAGGAAGATCAATGTAAGTATTATGTTTATATAATATTTTTGGTTGCTATTTTTATATTTGTACTTTTTTCTTTTTTTAGATGAAGCACCTTTCAATTGGGAGGCAAAACCAAATAAATATTATTTTAATGTAGAAAGTAGTGGAGCATTAAAACCAGAAAATATTGTAATGATGGGTATTGCTGCATTAAAAAACAAATTATCAAATTTACAGACTCAATTGAGTCATGAAGTACAAAGCGATGCTTTAAGTATTCACCATTAAATAAATTCATTAAATAGTTATAATGTTTTTTCTTATCAGTGTCAAAAATTATTTCATCTGTGCTTATGACAAGTAATAATACAAATGTTAGAAATTATTCGTTGCAATAAATTCCTCAACCATTTCCGAATTTTAACGAAACATACGAAGTTAATTAAAATAGCTCTTCTGAAAGAAATTATTTATTATTCAATTGCCAAAAGAAATGATGTGATTTAATGATATTAATCTTTATTATTTGGGAAATTTATTATAAATATAAAAAGCTATGACTGAACTCTTTAAGTGCTTTGATAATTAAATTTAAGATTTTTTAAAAAGTGGAGTTAATCACTTTGTGTTATGAACGACTCATATATGGTATACGTGTGTACGTGTATACTATAATGTGTAATGGCCTACGTAAAATTCCAAAATCCCCAAATGGAGATCGTGGTAGCTAACGGCTATATAATAGCCATAACTATAATTAATAACCCATATATAGCCATATATATTAGAGCTACAGTTATATTAATAGCCCATACCAATAGGCCCATTTTAATAAAAAAAAAATGTTAATCCGCCATAGTGATTTTTTGTTTTCATTATTTTTTGTTTTGGTCAAGTTTTAAACAGTTCTCCTTTACTTGTGCTCCCGCTCAAATCTAGGGAATTTTAGAGTTAGTATATTGAAGGTTATTTTACGGGTCAAGATTAGAGACTCTGCTCCAAAATAAATGAATGTTTTTATTTTGTGCGTTCAGTGATTGAATTATATTTAATCATTTTTATTTTTATATTAGACTAAGAATAAGCAGACCTTTATAATTTTTAAGTGCATAATGTATATCAAACAGGTATAACAAAAATATTTATTGTTTTATTATAGAGGTTATCATATCATATAAGTATAAATATTAAATAAATTAATGTGATTTTTGTGTGTGATATTGCTTTTATAATATCTCAATAATTAATACTTTTTTGATAACATTACATTATAATATATAGAATTAAATTAAACATTTTTTGGTCTTAGGTGATTATACAGGGATTTAAATCATATCGTGAACAAACAGTGGTCGAACCATTTGATTCTAGGCATAATGTAGTTGGTACGTATATTTTGTATGCTTATGGAAATAATTTATTAAAGATTGTTTATTTCGTGTATAATTCTTTTAAAGTTGGAAGAAATGGATCTGGGAAGAGTAATTTCTTCTATGCAATTCAGTTTGTTTTGAGCGATGAATTTTCTCACCTCAGATCTGAACAGAGACAAGCTTTACTCCATGAAGGTACTGGACCCCGTGTTATTTCTGCTCATGTGGAAATTATATTTGATAATTCTGATGGAAGGTTACCGGTATGAGTTATCAAATTATTTTATACAATAATAATTTAAATATAAATATGACATATGACGACTTATTTGTTATTAGATCGATAAAGATGAAGTTTATTTGAGGAGAGTAATCGGATCAAAAAAGGATCAGTATTTTCTTAACAAAAAAATTGTTACTAGAAATGACGTAATGAATTTGTTAGAGTCTGCAGGTTTCTCAAGGTCAAATCCATATTACATTGTTAAGCAAGGAAAGGTTTATCTCACTATTATATAAATTTATATTACAATTCGTTTACTTCAAAAATGATATTAAAAATGATTACGTGTTTTTACATAGATAAATCAAATGGCGACAGCTCCAGATTCACAAAGATTAAAGCTTTTAAGAGAAGTTGCTGGTACAAGAGTATACGATGATAGAAGAGAAGAATCCAAATCTATATTGAAAGAAACAGAAGGAAAGCTTGAAAAAATAGAAGATTTTTTACGTACTATAGGTAAAATGTTTGTAATTATACACACATGGGGTCTTAAATTTAAATAGCCAAAAGAAGAAAAAATGTATCATATAAAGTTTATCAGAAAACGCATTGCTACAAGATTATGAATAAATTTAGTTTACATGAAATGTGACTAATTACGCATTTTCCATTAAAGATAGGATTTTCTTCTCGACATTAAATGCACATTTTAAAAAGCTGTCCGTGTACTCAAATACGAGTGTAATATCGATTAAAAAAACAGAGTAATTAATAATACAACGTAGTTCGTGTGAGAATTTTTTAATTGAATTAATTTCAATGAGACTTACTAATGAACTAATCTCAATGGTCTTACAATTAGCTAATTCATCCTGTATATGTACATATTTATTTTGTTGCACTTTAGAGGAACGATTAAAGACTTTAGAAGAAGAAAAAGAGGAATTAAAGGAGTATCAGCGTTGGGATAAACAGCGGCGCTGTTTAGAATATACGATTCATGAACGCGAACTCAAGGAGAATAAAAGAAAATTTGAAGAACTCGAAGCATCTCGTGCAAATAGTGGCGCTGAACAAGCAAGATTAGGTGCAGAAGCAAAAACTGCACAAGAAATGGTACGAGCAGCTACTAAACGTCTGAAAGAAGCTAAGAAAGAAGTACAAACGGCTAAGGAAGAAAGGGATACCCTAAGGTAAATAAACAATCTATTTCTATATATATATATATATATATATAAATAGTCGTTTAGAAAAATATTCGGACACCATGTATGAACGTGCTTTTTCTATTAACTGCTATTATAATTATGCAGCGCTGAACAACAACAGCTATTAAAAGAAAAAACAAAATTAACATTAACTATTAATGATTTATTGGAAGAGGTTAAGGGTGATAATGATAGTAGAAAACGGGCACAACAAGAATTAGAAAAATTGAAAGTAAACATCGCAGCACGTGAGTCAGAATTAGAAGGAATTAAACCGGAGGTATTCAAATCATTATTTATGAATTCGTTTTTCTTGTGCTTATTACAACATAAATTGATTTATTTTGACAGTATGAAGAAATGAAACGTGTTGAAGAAGAGTGTACAAGAGAGTTGCAACTTAAAGAACAAAAGAGAAAAGAACTTTATGCTAAACAAGGGCGTGGTAATCAATTTACTAGTAGGGTAATGAAAACTGTCAATTGCCAAAATTAGAGATATACTATAAATTTGTTTGAATTTATAAATAATATATTGTAATATTGTTTGTTATAGGACGAAAGAGATAAATGGATACAAAATGAGCTTAAGCAATTGGCCAAACAAATAAAAGATAAAGAAGAACACCAAAAGAAAATAAGTGAGGATTTAAAAAAGGATGCAGAAAAGCAAATTGCCTTAGAAAAAAAGATAGAAGAACATACACGTGAAATGGATAGACAACGTGCATCGATAGATGATCATAATAAACAATATTATGAATTAACGAAAGCTAAGGATCAATGTCAAGCAACGAGAAAAGAACAGTTTGTGCATTATTATATTAATATTTCATTTAATAATATGTATAATATAACTAAGTAATGTTATAGGTATCGTCAAGAAAGCGTATTACAACTAAATTTGTCAGGATTAAAAGAAGATTTAGCAAAAGCTGATCAAAGTTTACGTTCTATGGCTGGAAAACCTATTCTTAATGGCAGAGATAGTGTACGAAAAGTACTTGATACATTCCGGCAAGTTACTATCTTGTTATATTTTCTTTTTTTCTTTTTTACTCATTTTTTGATAATCTGTGAAAATATAATAAATATATATTAATTGTAATATATAATACACAAAACGTATGTCTTATAGTGGGCGTAATGATATGGCCCATGAGGTAAGTAGTTACTATGGGCCAGTGATAGAAAACTTTAATTGCGACAAAAGTGTTTATATGGCTGTAGAGGTAACAGCTGGAAATCGATTGTTCCATCACATTGTAGAAACAGATAAGTTTGGCACTAAAATTCTAAAAGAAATGAATAATCAACGTCTTCCTGGAGAAGTTACGTTTATGCCTTTAAATCGTCTTCATATTAAAAATATAGATTATCCTAATACTTCGGATGCGATACCAATGATATCTCGTTTGAATTATGATCCTAAATATGATAAAGCATTAAGGTAAGAACATAGGAATTGTGTGTAAGTTTTCTATAAAAATTATATAAATTTTGTGCATAACTTAATATGTTAATGTTTTTAATTAATCCAGGTACATTTTTGGGAAAACATTAATTTGTCGTAATCTAGAAGCAGCAACGAATCTCGCTCGAACATCTGGCTTGGACTGTGTAACACTTGAAGGTGATCAAGTATCATCGAAAGGTTCTTTAACTGGTGGATATTTTAATACCTTAAGATCACGACTTGAGATACAAAAAACTCGATCAGAATTAATGGCACAGATTTCTACTCTTGAAAGTCAATTATCAACTCTTAAAGAAGAAATAAGAAAGGCTGACCAAAATATTAGTTCTTATGTCAGTGAAATGCAACGTACAGAGACGAAAAATAGTAAAGCCAAGTTAGTAGATATTTGATTTTAATATATGATGTGAGATTTATTCTTGTTATTAACAATACATATTATTTTAGAGATATATATGATAAAATGAAGGCGGAAATACGTTTGATGAAAGAAGAATTGAGTGCTATTGAAAGATATAGAACACCTAAAGAGAAAAGTCTTGCGCAATGTACTTCAAATTTGGAAGCAATGAGAGCAACAAAAGAAGGTTTAGAAAGTGAATTGCATCAAGAATTAATGGCACAATTATCTGTAGCCGATCAACATCAGGTATAAATTATTAACATAAAATAAATATTAAATAATCGATTTAAATTTGGATTTAATTTATTTAGGTCGATACTTTAAACGACGATATAAGACGATTAACGAAGGACAATAAAGAAGCGTTTGCAAAAAGAATGAGATTGGAGGCAGAGAAAAATAAATTAGAAAATCTTCTAACAAATAATTTAGTTAGAAGAAAAGATGAATTAGTACAAGCTTTGCAAGAAATATCAGTAGAAGATCGACAACGTCAGCTCGATTCATCAAAAACTCAATTAGCAGATATTGAGAAAAGGCTTGTGAAAGTTAATGCAGACTTTAAAGCTCAAAATGAAAAAGTAACTAATGCTATGAAAAAGGTAAATACGTCGTATTCAAATATAAATATTATTTCTAGTAGAATAATGTAAACATGATCATTTTCATTTATTTATCTTCTTTATTTACTTTATAATTCAAACATTATGTAAATAAAAATATGAATATTTGTAGCAAAAGGCAGAATCTGCTGAAGTAGAAAAGTGGAAAGTAAAAGAAAAAGAAGCACAGGAAAAAATAGAAGCTGATGCTAAAGATTTAGAAAAATTAGCGAGTAAATTAAATATTTTACAGCAGAAAATAGTAGAGTGTACACAAAAGATCACAGAATTAGGTGCATTACCTAGTCATGAGGCATACACGAAATTTAGTGTTATGTCTACGAAACAATTGTTTAGAGAAATGGAAAAAGCAAACAATCATTTAAAAAAATATAGGTATGGCTTCGTATTGTAAAATATAAAAACAACAATAAAGACATTTTATCCATGATAGTTTTATATGCTTTTTTGCAGTCATGTCAATAAAAAAGCTTTAGATCAGTTCATGTCATTTAGTGATCAAAAAGAAAAATTAGTGAAACGAAAGGAAGAATTAGATCGTGGTGATGAAAAAATAAAAGAGTTGATGTCAGTTCTTGAACAACGCAAATGCGAGGCTATTCAGTTTACATTTAAACAAGTATAGTATATAGTATAGTTTTCATAAGAATAAAAACATTTCTTATAATGTAATTAAATTAAAATCATTAATTTTTTGTTTTGCTTAGGTAAGTAAATATTTCAGTGAAGTATTTAAGAAACTTGTACCATCGGGTACCGCACAGTTAGTTATGAAAACTGCAGATGGTGATGAAGGAGATGACGGTACAACAGAAGCTGCGGATTCTGATCGTTTTATTGGTGTTGGTAAGATGACACTAAAAGTTTACTATTAAAACAAATAAGAGGTATGAAAATCATTGTTATTATTATTGTTTTTTTTTCTATAGGAATACGAGTCTCTTTCACTGGTCACAGGGCTGAAATGCGAGAAATGAATCAATTGTCTGGTGGTCAGAAATCGCTAGTAGCATTGGCTTTAATTTTTGCAATTCAAAAGTGTGATCCTGCACCATTTTATTTATTTGATGAAATAGATCAAGCTTTAGATGCACAACATCGAAAAGCAGTTGCTGATATGATTCATGAACTTAGTTCGGACGCTCAATTTATTACGACAACTTTCAGGTAACATTCTAAATGCATACAACAATAAAATCAGACAGATTTTTATATTTAATATGAAAGAAATTATTTATATGTGTAAGCATATTACAGGCCGGAGTTATTGCAACATGCAAATAAATTTTATGGAGTAAAATTTAGAAATAAAGTATCGCACGTTGAATGTGTTTCGCGAGAAGAAGCAGCAGACTTTGTTGAAGATGATACAACACACGGTTAAGATAACGTCTTTGAATAAAAACTTCATTTCAATACAACTTTTTCGAGTTAAAATATTGATTTTGGAACATGAATCCAAATCATGAATAATAACTCTATTATACTATGTTTCATATTGTGTAAATTTAAATGTTTTGAGCATGTTTAAAAAAAAAATATAATTTCACATTGAATAAAATAATGTAATATAAGGTTTTTTTTAGACGATTGGGGATTTTTAATATAAATCACATTTACAATGAAACAATATTTACAAAAACATTATCTGTTGTGTTTACATTTTATTATTGATAATTGAAAAGTTTTAACAAATATTTTTATTTCTTTCTGATATCATTGCATGTACATCGATGAAAAATGATATACATTGTATGAAGTGTATATTTAAACATAAAAATCGCATATTTTATATAATCATAATGTAATTATTTTTCTTTGCGCTGACGCGTTATACTATCATGCATGTCTGTTACAACTGTTTCTATTAATCCTGGTATTACCACACCATTTACATCAATAAACTTTGCAATTGATTTTGTAACGACACTTTGATTAGTAACCCCTGTAGAAGGACTAGTGACAGATAATACGAGAGTATATCTATCATCATATTTTTTAAGATATGAACTTGCTTCCCATATAAGATCAGGATTATAACCAGAAGGATCTCTGCAATATAAAATAATTAGAAAAATTGTACAGCATAATGATATTTTCAAAATTACCTTTGAATAGCAACAACAAATATGCCTTTTTCTTTATACGTTGTGTAAAGAGTTAAAAGCCCCATCAAAACAAAATATAAAGAGACGCAAACTATTAAAACAGGTTTAGATGCTGGGAATGGATATAAATAATCAAATAGCAATGCGATTATAGCTATTGTTACTGCGATCCCACAGAGTGCCAATCTTCCATCAAGAAGAGTAAAATTTTCTATGTAATTATATTTTTTTGTAAGAACATCCTTAATTGCATCGTCTAATGCATTCTTTACAGCAGATCCATCCCATTTATTAATTTTTATTACCATCTAAAAAATATTCGTCAAATACAAATCTAAGATACATAAGTGTGTGAAGTATTGCATACGTGTGATTACATTTTTTTTTTTTTTTTTTTTTTTTTTTTTTTTTTTTTTTTTTTCGATCCAATCATAAAACACATAGAAATTTTTTTTTTTATTACAAATATTATTATTTTCATTTCTAACGTTATCAAAAATGTGAATTATTCGAATAAAACCAATAAGATTAACCCTTTGAGTGTTGAATNTCATTAACTAATTCTAAGAGGTTAAGCATACAATATTTGTTAATAAAACAAATAGTTATAGTAATATAACTTGTATTATTTATTAAAACACAATATATATTCAAATAACTTACACTATTTTCAACACCGCCCATTTTAATTAATTGGAAGAGAAGGTTTGCATTTAATATAATCTCCCACAATCACTGAATTGTTTCAGCTTTGTAAAACGACAGGAAGCGATATAATCAAAGGATATAGAAGTATATAGAAGTATATAGAAGTTCACAAGTCCATTTTTTCTCCAACCAGATTTATCTTAGTCACTACCGGGATCACCAGTGGGCGAGAGTGGGTACTTAACGCGTAAGGTACTTATAGTATATGATATATATTCTTTGATAATATATACACACAGGTGGATGAACTCTAGCCACCAAGATAGCTCCAAAAGTATGATAGTAACAGAATAGTTTATAGAACGAAAGTTGCATGAAAAATTCGGGAGTATAATATGACATCAGTTTCTTTTTTGCTAGATTTAGTCACATCTGAGATTTAAAGGTTAAGTTTGTTTTTTTTAAATGGAATGCTATGTTTTGGTACTTATTTTTTGATAGCGGTTATCATGGCGAATTCAACGATGTGCAACATTAAAGTATTTGAAGGTCAACGAAGGTCAATTCTGGCGAGCCACGATACAGCTCGTGTTTGCATCAAGGTTGCGTCAGGTTTACCCCTGTGAGTAGGGGGTAGTAGAATACTCTCACAGTATTCCCTGCTTGTCGTAAGAGGCGACTAAAAGGGAAAGGGTGAATGGTGTGTGAATGCTCTCTGATGAGGGACTTGCCTTCCATTATTAAAAGAAATAATTATGGAATTTTGCATGTAGCATGCTGTTTAGTTCAGTTAATACTGTTTAATATACGCATGCAAATTTACTTTAGTGATGCGAGAAAAAAGTGTGCTTCTAAGGGTTCATTCGTGTTATTTCTTTATAAATTTCATATTATATTTCAGGACATCTTAGGTGATAAGACAAATACACAAGATTACCGGTATACACTTTAAGCAGCGATAATATTTGTACATTATACAATGACTCAAGTATGACTTTTCTATATAGTTTGTGTAAATGCGCAACCAAAATTTATAGTAATTGTTTTACAAAATATAACAATACACGTATAGAATATTTATACATATGATAAACAGTAAATAATAATAATATTAATGATAATGTGTGATATATGGTAACTTTTACTAATCATAAGACGATAACTAAAATGAAAAAAATGACTTCTTACTTTATATTATGGCACTAGAATTGTAGATAGCGGAAGACAGTGATTTACATAATAATATTTTTGTAAGAAAGCATACAAATATTAAAAACGAATTTGTGCAGATGTTTATAAATTTAAATTTGATATTTTCCACTAATTTAGACGTATTTCGGTTATAGTGTAAATGACAATACCAACAAAGTTTAAATTGATGGTATAATATTGAAATGTTATAAATTCTATTAGGAAAAGATAAAAATATTGTAAATATCTTATAAAATAAACTTTTTTCAGAGTTCATCCGTAAAACGTTCAATGTCTTGTAACTGGTTTCCATAATCAGTCGCTTCACTACCTA